GAGAAATATTTAGCTCAATGGGATAGGAGTTGAACGTCTCAACTTCCTTCTTTGGAGCTACCTCAGCGTTTGCCTTATAATTTATATTTTCATTTCCCCTTTCTGCACTTTTAAATTTAATATTATCATTTATCACTGCACAAATGTCAGATTTAAGAGTAGGGAACAACAGGGAATACTGCTCTGCTCTTGAGTGCCCATAGGTGCCACAGAAATAAACAAATATCCTTAATATGGTCTATATTTAAATGTTTGGCCAAAGGCTGCACATATCCCTAATTTAAATAATTCATTGGTTTTACAGGTGCCACAATGTTCTTGTTTTCATTTTGCTTTTGTTACACTTGCTGAGTATACTTACATGGCTATTTTTGGTGAAAACCATGATAGAAATAAGTTTTATTTGAGTTCACACCCCTCTAGTCTTTCCTTCTTTCCACCCCACTGCATTATTAATGCCCGGAGGTTGCCAGGATTGTTGAGGACACTCAATCATTTCCCCTTGAGATAAATTCTTATCTTGCAGAGATGTCACACTCCTGAAATTCAGAATGCAATACTGCATTGCTGGGGTCAAAGTAATCCACACTCCCCACTAGTATTCCTATTGCTAGTTGTATAGAATATGGTTCTGCTTACATCTCTCTATGACATTGACTGTGTTTATGATATCACTGGCCAAAGGGGACTTAGGTTCCACCCATGGCAGGAGAGAAAAGTGAAGAGGATGCAGCAAGTTACACAGGTCCCATGATTTGGATCACATCTGTATCATCTCTTCAGTTTTCTTTAAACATTATATGCTCTTTCTCTCCATGATATGTGTGTGTGTGTGTGTGTGTGTGTGTGTGTGTGTGTGTGTGTGTGTGTGTGTGTGTGTGTGTGTGTGTGTGTGTGTGTGTGTGTGTGTGTGTACTTTCCTGATACTGAAAACCAACTAAAATTGTAACTTACTTCTTCATTTATTTTTATTATTTATCCACAAGCTGCAGGGTTATTTTACAACTGATATTCCTCCTACCTACCTTATTGTTTAGGTGACAATAACTGAGCGCATGGCAGCAGCATGAGGCATAGCAGAAGCCAGTGTCTGAAGCATTTAATATTTTCCTTCCTCTATTTCATAAGGTCATTCTCAACAATCCGAGCAATTTAAATGTATCATCCACTATTGCTAAAGAAGTGCATCTGCTCCCTCACTAAGGGCTCTCCCAAGTGTCACATTTGTGCTCCATAATGTGTCTGACTCATCAATGAAGTTAACAGTACTTTTCTTGCCATCCATATGACATCCTCCTCATTGTGGTAAATAAAGTGACATTTTTCATTATGTTTAGTGCTTTTTTTTGTCCTGCTTCAATAATAATAGTAATCATTTGTCAAGTCAATTCTGACTTATGGCTACCCTTTTCAAAATTTTCCAGGTAGAGAATACTCTGAAGTGGCTGACCACTCCCTTCTTCTGGTGGTACCCTGGGATTGTGCAGCTTGTCCTACACCATACACGTTGGCTCTACTCATAGAAGGAACACTGGGGAATTGAATTCCCAACCTCTGGCTGCACAGCCAGATTCCTAAACTACTGAGCTATCAAGCCACCTGTATCTCTTCAAGGAATGGTTTATTGTCTTGGGGGGGGGCAGGGAATAGCACTATGATATCAAACAAAAACTAAAGAAAAATAAGAAGTAAAGACAGAAAATTGTGGCACCTTAAAGACTAACTGCTATGTTTTAATATGAACTTTTATGGAGAAGTGCACTTTTTGCCTTCTTGATTGTTTATTGTATTTTATTGTATTGTATTTGCCTGATATGCTAGCACAGACTAAAATGACTACCTTTTCTAAAACTAGAACTATAGTGTTTCCCATGAAGTTTGTTTCCCAGTCACAGCCTCCCTCTTGAAAGAGGTCAATATCCTTTAAATTCTCTCCCTCCCCTGAAGGAGACTAGACACGAATCTCTAGCAGAAAAAATTATTACATGTTTATTAAAGGATTTAATACATTTCCTTTTTTAAAAAGTATTTATTTAAGGACAGGGTAGGGAATACAAAAAGTAAGGGGAAATAGGGAAGAGGGAAAAAGGGTTAGGGGGATAGGAGAACACAGAGTATACCATCATCCAATCAATTCATATTACAATAACAAATCAACTTTTTGCTTTTTCACAGTTTGATTACCCTCCTGCTTTCATCTTATCATTTAATTTTAGTTTAATTCTATGTTACTCCAACATTATCTGGTAACTGCAGCCATTTATACAATACATCCCATCGTTCAGTTTCCTTTTGAATTGAACAGTCTTTCAGCCCATCTGACAGAATATCCATTTTTGTCACTTCCCATATTTTCACAATAAGATTCTCTTGTTTCAGTATCTCTGCTTTCTTGAGATTTTTAACATAATGCTTTTTAGTTTAGAAGCTGCATAGGTCACTGGATAACTCTCTATCCCATCTATGTTACCTGGTGCCGTGCCCAATAAAGACGGTTCTAAGATCACAGCAGCTAATCTGCAAGGAGGCAGCATCAGTACGAGGTCACAATGACCAGTCTATCTCTCTGCAAAAAAGGCAAAACAGAAACACTTTGGTCGTTTCCCCTTATTCAAGGAAGGAACGGTTTGTGGATTCATTGTCACTCCATGCATGCATGGAGGTTGCCAGAGGCAGAATCATGTGGGCACAGGTCATATATAATTAAGGTAGGTACTTGTATGGCCATGTATGTACAATCTCTTTTTTATGGGCACATGTAGGTAGAATGGTAACTGGTTCCTCTTACACAAGTGGGCAAGTGCTGTGTGGGCAGAACACCAGAAGGCAAGATGAGGAACAGAGCTGGCAACCAGACACTCATTCTGTTACAGGTTCCTATTTATAAATGCTCCATATTGACTTAACACAGGAAGCAGTGGAGTTCATAGAGATGGGCACAGGTATGTTGGCAACACCCCAGATATAACAAGGTGACATTTTGCAAAGTCTGTCACAACAGGGTGCTATTGGAAAGACAAACTGGCAGAAGAATAACAGGTACTGACATAATAGCCCCTATATAGTGGGGCTTCACCATTCTGCGGATTTTCACAGATGTCCTGGGGGAGAGCAGATCAAGCAGCAGGAGGCACCAGACAGAACAGCAGCAGGCAGATGTAGGCATTATCAGGTGCTGGAGGTACTGTACAGTAGAGCTTCCAGCCTGTGCTCATGGAGCAGATTACGAAAGATACTAGAGCATAGCATAAGAGCAATTGAAAAACAAACAAACAGAGACTGCCATTGGAGCTGAGGGAGAATATGTAGGTACCACCCTAAACCTGGCAATGTGCAATTCACCCAAAGTCAATGGCCAACTTACAGGATCCCAATAGACAAAAATTATTGTTCAGAAACAAAGGGAAGGGAAAGAAATAGAAAGAAAAGAAAGTGGGAGAAGACAAAGAGGCACCCCAAGATAGGAAGACATTTAAAATGTAAACTAGAAATTGGTTTTTCAGTGCAAACCAGTAGAAGGTTTGGTGATCTGGATTTTCAAATCACTCAGTTGAGGACCTGCTTTGCAGTTCCCTAGTGTAAATTCATTGAATAATCTTGAGCTTTACTCTCTCAAAATGTGCTTAGAGGTTTCCTGCTGGTGAAGGACTATTCTCCACAGCACTCATTATATGCTAGGATTTGGGAAATAACTGAGATGCTAGCAGCTGTCACTATTATTACCTTCCATGTGCTACTTTGAAGCATTAAATTAAAACATACATTGTAATGTTTGCATAGGAGGAAGTGATACAATTTTAACTGAAGTGATTGAGATGTCAAAATTCAAAGCAAAGTTGTGGTTTTTTAAATCTAAACTTTCTAAACCTTTCCTGAAGTCTCATCTCTGCAGTTTGTTATAGATAAACAAAATTCAGTGTTTGTCAATTCTGAACTGGATATAGATTTGCCACATAGTAAAGGCCTTTGAAAAAGTAAATGGGCTGTACTAGACAACCATAGGACCCTGCAGTAAGAGTGGTGGTTGCAATACTGTAATCTTGAACTCATTTTCAAAGAAGTAATAATGCAAACATATGCATGGTCGTTGTGGGTTTTCCGGGCTCTTTGGCCGTGTTCTGAAGGTTGTTCTTCCTAACGTTTCGCCAGTCTCTGTGGCGGCATCTTCAGAGGACAGCACTCAATCATATGCATGTTTCCTCAAAAAAATAAATCTCATAATTTATTTTTTATTTCAAACCTCCATTGCCTTGCGGCTATATCCACTCATGGAAAAGGCTTCAGGAGTTAACCTCCAGGCAAAATCCAGAGCTGGAGTCCCGAAGGCAGTTCATGTTGTTCTGCCAACTCCTGCGGTGTTGCTGGAACCAGTTGTATTGGCTCTTGCCTTTCCATTGGACCATTTCAGCAACGTGGAGAGGGGGGATCTGCTGGGGGATCTGCTGCCTATCCTCCATACTACTTTACCCAGGCTTCATGCTCTGGAGAAACAAGATAGCAAATCTAACATCATAAATGTAAAGTAATACTGTATTACATCACAGACCCCCTACAGACGGCAACGCCCAAAGATGCCAAATAAGGCGTTTCCTATGGCGGGGGGGGGGAATAGGTCAGTAACCTAAACCCCTTTCAAAGTCATAGTGGGTATAATTCATTTCCGAGTAAGGCCGTGACTTATGGTAGGTTGCGATTGTTTTGTTTTGTTCGCGTGTCGCCCAAGGGCACTGAAATACCTCGGTGTGCTATTTCTACCCGGCGGATGCTTCCCTAGGGCGAAAGTCCCGCCGCTTTCCGGCCGGGGGCGGGGGAGGCTTGCCTTGCCGAGCCGCTCGCCCGAGGCTCCGAAGAAGCGGCGTCCCCTCCGGGCCGGGAGGCTACCTGCCCGCGTCCCCTCCTCCCTTGCCCTCCCTTGGCTCGGCTCCCCTCCCCGCAGGCCTCCTCCACACACGAGGTGGCGCTTCGGAGCCCTGCCTGGCGCCTCCCGGCCCGGTTGGGAAAGCGGAGGAGGAGGAGGAGGAGCTCCGCGCTTGCGCCCCAGGCGGGGCGGCGTGGGCGGCGAGGCGGCTTCAGAGGCTAAAGGTCCTCAGAGCGAGGAGCGGCCGCCGTCGAGGTGGGAGGCTCGCTCGGGCTCGGTTGCCAAGATGCCGGCGGTGTCGAAGGGGGACGGGATGCGCGGCCTGGCCGTCTTCATCTCCGACATCAGGAACTGTAAGCGGCGGCCGAGGCGGGGGTGGTGGTGGCGGCGGTCCTTTATCATAGCGGTCGGGAGGCGTCGGGAGGACAGCCTTCCCTTCCCCTCCTCTGGACAGGGGCGGGGGGCGCTGAATAATAGCGAGGGGGGGAGCAGAGTCTGCGGGTGAGGGTGCGCTGGAGAACCGGGGGCTCTTGCCGTCGGGTGGGGCTTTGGTCCGGAGGGGCCCCCGCTCCTATCCGGATCCCTCCTTTTCGCTCTTGCCGTCGGGTGGGGTTTTGGTCCGGAGGGGCCCCCCGCTCCTATCCGGATCCCTCCTTTTCCCAGGAGAGGCATGACTCGCCTCGGGAAGGAGCTCCTCCAGGCTCAGGGCTGCTTGCGGAGGGGAGCCCTTGCAGCAGCAGCAGCAGCAGTAGTAGAGGATCCTGCACGTCGTTGCAAGGGATATAGCGGGGGTTATTTTTTATGGAGGGGCTTGTTTATACTACGAGTTTCCCTCCTGGCCGTAAAGCCATTTGCTGCCCTCGGAATGACTTGCTTCTCTTCCCCCCCACGGAAATCCTGAGGTCTTGCTTCTGCCGTAGCTTTAGGGGAGGCATCATGGCTGGATAATCCTGTGTGAAACCACTCTCCTTTGAAGGGGCTTTTTAAGGCAGTCCCTGGCTTGGTCTAAACCAGGATGTGTTCCTGGTGGACTTTGTTTAAATGAGTGAAACCAGGTGAGGTGCCAACTCAAATCCTGTGCAGTATGTTCTTAACGGAATCAATATACATACATGGTATCTGTCTTTTGGGCTAAAGAGAGAAACTAGGGGAGATGGTGTAGAAAGAAGTGCTGTGTATAAAGTGGCGGGGAGGGAAGTGGCTGCTTTTTGAAAAGGAAGTGTATACATTATTGTTCCCGTCTCCTTTTCTTCATTCATTGTATGAACCAGGAAATTTGATCTAAGATTAGAAGCATTTCAGTGTGCTGGAGAGAGATGTGGGACATATCACATTTTAAAACTGTATTATCTTTGGCTTGAAATCATTGTGGACTAGAATGGTGTGCTAGATCTCTTTAATGAAGATGAATCTATGGTCTAACGAAGATGAATCTATTTTGGAATCATCCTGTGTGCGGCGCTGGTCTAATGAAGATGAATCTATTTTGGAATCATCCTGTATGGCTGGTTTGTTTGGTTTTGCTGTTTCCAATCCCACTGTTCCCTAAACAATTCAATGTAATGCAGAAAGAATAACAGTTGGCATGGCACAGGCTTAATTGCACGTTAGTAACGAGTGTGTTGGTTGAATTGGTGCTGCTTCTGTGTCTAGATAAGCCTGCAGTCATCTGAGGTTTTACAAATTCCGTGCTGCGTAGCTGGCAAAATACTCCTAATCTTCTCTTGGCAGCATGGCCGTTGTCTTCAGGAGACCTTTTAAAGCAGAGCTGGAGACATCTGTCTGAAGAGCCATTTGTGAGCTGGCCTGCGTTAATCTCAAGAACTGTGTGAAGAATGCTAATGGTGGTACAGTACATATAATCTTGCCAACAAGCATAGTTTTCAGGTACTTCTAGCAGTGCCTGTCAGAGCTGCATAAATCTGTCATGTGTAAAACGCCCTTCTTCCTGAAGAAAGATTATCCAGCACTCCAGATCCTGTATAGCTAGGCTTTAGCAGAAGGGATGAAAAGTGGTTTATTTCCTGGGGTGCCTCAGCGACAGCATCTCCTGAATCAGCACATGTGCTAGTGCAGGAAGCACTACAGGAAATATTTCCCATTGGCTGTAGTTCAAGAGTTTTTGATAGCTTGTCAGGCACTACCACTGATGTGCCATTCGCACTGATTTCTTGTGTTTAGGCTGGTTGTCACTGGAACAGAGCGTGGCTGTAGTTCAAGAGTTTGTCTTGATAGCTTGTCAGGCACTACCATTGATGTGCCATTCGCACTGATTTCTTATGTTTAGGCTGGTTGTCACTGGAACAGAGCCTGGCATAGCGCCTATGTCATTTAGCGCTGTACAATGTTAGAAAACAGAACCAACATACCCTTCACTTGCAAAAATGCTCTAGTTGCTGGGGAAAACCACTTGAAATGAGCGCTGTGTTAATCGTTGATCTCAGTGCCCAGTTTTGAAGGTGCTTGTTCAGCTGTTTTTTGCCCAGTGCTTGCTACATCTCATTTGTCAAACAATTCTTGTTATATCTACAGTACCTGCGTGAAGTTCTACAGAATACAGTACCCAGCATAGTGTAAGGGATAGAATAATGGACTAGGACTCCGGGTACCTGAGTTTGAATCTCCACTCAGCCATGGAAGATACCTGAGTTTGAATCTCCATTCAGCCATGGAGACTCAGAAGTGGTGATTATAGAACTGATCAAACCATTCCTTAAATGTGCCACTTAAAGTGAAAACCCTATTAGGGCTGTCACAAGTACGTTCTGACTTAACACACAAAGTATAACTCACTTATTTAGCTAGGGTTACACTATTTAGCAAAAGTCCTCATATTTAGATTTAGGAAGAGGTTGAGGGGACTATATCTCATTTTCTATTTACTAAATGAAAATTATCTATTGTCAAATAAAATAATTGCATACTAATGTTTCTACTACAAATTCTTCATAAGTGTTCCAAAGGGAACAAATTGAAGAAAAATGTTTTATAACCCTACAGTAAAGCTTGGATCTGTGTCGTACGTGCTGTATTTTGACAGGCAAAGAGGAAGAGGCAGTGTTGAGTCAGACCGTTGAATCTGCATAAATTTCTGATTTATGCATATCCACAGATCTGACTCAAGACTTCTTTTCCCCTTTATCTGTCAAAACACACAAGACATGGAACCAAGAAGATTAGCTTTACTATAACTTTTTTTTTAAAAAAATACAACTCATCTGTTACATAGAATCTGTACATGAAAAACATATTTGTCTCTTCTTTAATGCTGAGGAAAACAAAACAAAGTTGTGTATTGTTTGTCAAATCTGTTGTACTTTTTCCTCTGCATTGCCTTCTAATATCCCTTAATCACAATATTCAGTGATAAATCACAACACCAAGTAACACGTTGTACATTAAGAGTTGGGAGGTAGGATATAAAAAAGCATGATTTGTTTTAAAAACTAGTTTGGGGACGAATGCTTGAGCCTTGCACTTAATATCCAGAACGTGTTCCTATCTTAGTACATACCCCTTACTATGTTTTCCCTTAACTGTAGAACTGATGGGAAAATTCTTTCCCTTCCTGCATGGATGCTTGTTGTTGGCATACTTGCCACCAGTATATCCAGTGCCAAGACAACTTCTTGCTTCCATGTCTTGGTGGAAAATCTGCCTAATATGCTAAGGATTGTAGGTGGAATGAAAAAATATCACAACATATTGAATAAAATCAAGATCAAATTTCAGTGCTACATCTAGATTGTATTCATAGCATTTGTAGTATTTTGACTCTTATGGACGTGTCACAATGCAGTATAGGTTTTATATAAAGCAATATAAAAAGATAGCAGTTTTCAGTTTAAAACACGTGTATCTATGGTTTATATGTCAGTCAATTAACATTCAGTTTAACTAATTTTAGAAATAAGAGTAGGTTGGCTATTGGAAAATGAGTAGATCTTCATATCTCCTGTGCCATGTGTTCATACTATCAAGGATTCATGTGCAGTTGTCTTGAGAGGGTAAGTCCTCAGGATTAGGGCACACAGTTTATTTGTTTATTTATTTAATTTATATGCTGCCCACATGTGCGAGTCTATTTATCATCTCGATAAAATATAATTGTTGTCTTAATGTCACGGTAACTGTGCAGAGAATGGCTGTGTTTGCTTGTGATATTTAAAACTTGCCATGAATTCTGAACCCTTTTCCTGTCTCTTAACAGAAAGGACCACGGTGGGATTACCACTGTTTATGGTCATCTATCACAGAGTGCAAAAGAGGGTAAGACCCAGGCTGGGCAGACAGCTCTGTACATTATGGTCGCTGTGTGGAGGACATCCAGAACTCATGTTGTTATGTGCTGCCAAGTCACTTTCAACATTTGGCAGCCCTGTGAATTAGAGTTGATCTCCTGAAGATCTTGTTGTTACCAGCTTTGCTGTGGTCTTGCAAATTCAAACCCTTAGCTTCCTTTATTAAATCTGGCAGTCCTAGACCAAATCAACCCTGAAATGTGTTCAGAAGTAGAAGTGACTAAATGGAGGTTCTCAAACATTCCATATGGCCTGAGAAGACGAAACTTACTGAAAACAGCAATTCAGAATTGACAAAAGCTAATTGTAAATTTATGAACCAATTGTTTCAGCCTTGGATTTTTGATTTAAAAAATTAGCTGTTAAAACTTGAACTATTTTGCCTATCTGATAATGCTGCATGTGTGGAGCAGGATAACAATTGCGTACAGCAGAAAGTCTGAAAACCTTACTTTGTTAAGAGCTCATATTATACCCAAATACTGTGGCTTCAGTGACAGTCACAAACTGTAGTATTGTTATTGATTGCCTCCTGCATCATATTTTAGAGTACAGTGATTCCAAGCCTTGGGTACCTGTATGCCCAGGGGTACAAAAGAGGACATTTGGGGTAATAACAATAATACATGGGGGGGAGAATAATGGGCCAGGGAAAGTGGAAGAAGGTGGAATGGAAGTCTACATTAAGGATTAGCATTTGGACAAAGTGTATTCTGAGCTTCCTAAAAAGCATCCACAACTTTCCACAGTCATCAATGGGTGGTTCTTTTCAATCTTATTTTCTTCATCGATTTTCCCCCTTTTTGATAGAGAGGAGAGGTGGATTTGGTCAACACCATTGAATGAGGTTGGCTGGGCTGTCTTTCAGTTCTGTGGCTGTGTGTCAGGATGGCAACTGCCCTGATGGCCTTTAGCTTGTGGGGGCCAAGGAAAGCTTGAGAATATTGCATTGGGATTATTGAAGGGGCTGTAGAAGATGGAGCACCAGGTGGGTTTGGGGACACTTCAGGGTGGTAGCTGGAGGAACATGGTGCCAATAGACTGAGGTGGCT